CTGCTGGTTGTTGGTCTGTGGCCAGGCCTGCTGGTTGTTGGTCTGTGGCCAGGCCTACTGGTTGTTGGTCTGTGGCCAGGCCTGCTGGTTGTTGGTCTGTGGCCAGGCCTGCTGGTTGTTGGTCTGTGGCCAGGCCTGCTGGTTGTTGGTCTGTGGCCAGGCCTGCTGGTTGTTGGTCTGTGGCCAGGCCTGGTGGTTGCTGGTCTGTGGCCAGGCCTGCTGGTTGTTGGTCTGTGGCCAGGCCTGCTGGTTGTTGGTCTGTGGCCAGGCCTACTGGTTGTTGGTCTGTGGCCAGGCCTGGTGGTTGTTGGTCTGTGGCCAGGCCTGGTGGTTGTTGGTCTGTGGCCAGGCCTGGTGGTTGTTGGTCTGTGGCCAGGCCTGCTGGTTGTTGGTCTGTGGCCAGACCTGCTGGTTGTTGGTCTGTGGCCAGACCTGCTGGTTGTTGGTCTGTGGCCAGACCTGCTGGTTGTTGGTCTGTGGCCAGACCTGCTGGTTGTTGGTCTGTGGCCAGACCTGGTGGTTGTTGGTCTGTGGCCAGGCCTGGTGGTTGTTGGTCTGTGGCCAGACCTGCTGGTTGTTGGTCTGTGGCCAGACCTGCTGGTTGTTGGTCTGTGGCCAGGCCTGGTGGTTGCTGGTCTGTGGCCAGACCTGGTGGTTGCTGGTCTGTGGCCAGACCTGCTGGTTGTTGGTCTGTGGCCAGACCTGCTGGTTGTTGGTCTGTGGCCAGACCTGCTGGTTGTTGGTCTGTGGCCAGACCTGCTGGTTGTTGGTCTGTGGCCAGGCCTACTGGTTGTTGGTCTGTGGCCAGGCCTGGTGGTTGCTGGTCTGTGGCCAGGCCTGGTGGTTGTTGGTCTGTGGCCAGGCCTGGTGGTTGCTGGTCTGTGGCCAGGCCTGGTGGTTGCTGGTCTGTGGCCAGGCCTGGTGGTTGCTGGTCTGTGGCCAGGCCTGGTGGTTGCTGGTCTGTGGCCAGGCCTGGTGGTTGCTGGTCTGTGGCCAGGCCTACTGGTTGTTGGTCTGTGGCCAGGCCTGGTGGTTGTTGGTCTGTGGCCAGGCCTACTGGTTGTTGGTCTGTGGCCAGGCCTGGTGGTTGTTGGTCTGTGGCCAGGCCTACTGGTTGTTGGTCTGTGGCCAGGCCTGGTGGTTGCTGGTCTGTGGCCAGACCTACTGGTTGTTGGTCTGTGGCCAGACCTACTGGTTGTTGGTCTGTGGCCAGGCCGGCTGGTTGTTGGTCTGTGGCCAGGCCTGCTGGTTGTTGGTCTGTGGCCAGGCCTGCTGGTTGTTGGTCTGTGGCCAGGCCTACTGGTTGTTGGTCTGTGGCCAGACCTGCTGGTTGTTGGTCTGTGGCCAGGCCTACTGGTTGTTGGTCTGTGGCCAGACCTGCTGGTTGTTGGTCTGTGGCCAGGCCGGCTGGTTGTTGGTCTGTGGCCAGGCCAACAACAACATAAAAACAGGAACCACGTACAAAACGCAGGCAAATCATAACATAGAACGAAAAGGCAATGTAAAGGACCTGGGTGTACTCATGTCGGAAGACCTTACCTTTAAAGAACACAATAAAGTAGCCGTCACAACTGCAAGAAAAATGACAGGTTGGATAACAAGAACTTTTCACACTAGAGATGCTATACCGATGATGATACTTTTCAAAACGCTTGTGCTCTCTAGAGTGGAGTACTGCTGCACAATGACAGCCCCTTTCAAAGCTGGAGAAATTGCTGACCTAGAGAGCGTGCAGAGATCCTTTACTGCTAGAATCCACTCAGTAAAACATCTAAATTACTGGGACCGACTAAAGAGCCTAAATCTGTACTCCCTTGAGCGCAGGCGGGAGAGATACATAATAATTTACACGTGGAAAATAATTGAGGGGCTGGTCCCAAACCTGCACACAGAAATAACACCACATGAGACCAGAAGACATGGCAGGATGTGCAGAATACCCCCGTTGAAAAGCAGAGGTGCAACAGGTACTCTGAGAGAGAACTCTATCAACATCAGAGGCCCGAGACTGTTCAACACGCTTCCACTACACATAAGGGGCATAACTGGCAAACCCCCTCACAGTGTTCAAGAGAGAACTGGATAAGCACCTCCAAAGGATACCTGATCAACCAGGCTGTGACTCATACGTCAGGCTGCGAGCAGCCGCGTCTAACAGCCTGGTTGATCAGTCCAGCAACCAGGAGGCCTGGTCGACGACCGGGCCGCGGGGACACTAAGCCCCGGAAGCACCTCAAGGTAGCCTCAAGGTAGGTAGGTAGGCCTGCTGGTTGTTGGTCTGTGGCCAGGCCTGGTGGTTGCTGGTCTCTGGCCAGGCCTGCTGGTTGTTGGTCTGTGGCCAGGCCGGCTGGTTGTTGGTCTGTGGCCAGACCTGCTGGTTGTTGGTCTGTGGCCAGGCCTGCTGGTTGTTGGTCTGTGGCCAGGCCTGCTGGTTGTTGGTCTGTGGCCAGGCCGGCTGGTTGTTGGTCTGTGGCCAGACCTGCTGGTTGTTGGTCTGTGGCCAGGCCTGCTGGTTGTTGGTCTGTGGCCAGGCCTGGTGGTTGCTGGTCTGGTGTACCTGGTTGTGGGTCGTTGCAACTCGGTCTTAATTTACCGGATCAACCAGCCTGTGATTTGTATCTTTTGGCGATGGGTGTTTAAGGTGTCCTTGTGAGAGAGAGGTCGGCTACCTGTGCAACATATCTTGTCCAAAAAGTCCGCTTTCTGGTATCTCTATTGTAAAGTGTTGGAGATTAGAGGCGACACAAAGCCTGGCGTCTCCTAGGCCTACGGCATTAGCAATAAGATGGCCTGTTTAGGCCTAGCATAAATGCGGTTTGGTTACTTCGTAAAAGTAAGTTACTTTTACTTAACTTTTTTCCAGTATCGTTTATAACGCCAGTACTCCATGGGTGGACCTGTGTGCCAGTCTCCATGAGTTGTAGACATGTCTCCACAGTCACTGTATACCTGGAACATACCTCGAGAGGGTTTCAGGAGTTTTTCTACTCCCAGTTTTTCTACTCTTGACTTTTTCTACTCCCTTACTACTCCCTAGTAATCGACTTGTGATTACTAGGTTCAGCAGGCTGTTGCTTAGAGCGGCCCGCAGGCCCACATCCACTACAGCCTGGTTGGTCCAACACTTCTTGCAAGAACTTATCCAAGTGCCTCTTGAATACATCAACCTTTGCTCCGGCAATATTTCTAATACTTACTGGGAGGGTGTTGGACAGGTGTGGACCTCTGATGTTCAGTGTTCTCTGATTGTGCCTATGGCACCTCTACTCTTCACTGGTTCTATCTACATTTCCTACTGTACCTTTCGCTCCAGTATGTTGCTATTCTACTGTGCAAATTTGGGATACAGGAGGACCTGGTCCTCCTGTATCTTCCATGTATATATTATTTGATATCTTTCTCGTCTCCTTTGCAAAGAGTACATTTTGAGAGCTCTGAGACGGTTCCAATAATTTAGATGTTTTATCGTGTCTATGTGTGCCGTATATGTTCTCTGTATTCCCTCTAATTCAGAGATCTCTCCCGCTCTGAAGGGGAAGTGAGTATCGAGCAGTACTCAAGACGGGACAGCACCAGTGATTTAAATAGTATTAACATTGCTGTGGGATCTCTGGATGTGAACGTTCACATAATCTATCCTCTCATTGTCCTGGCCGCCGCCGCCGCTATATTTGCTCGGTTATGTTCACTCCATGTCAGGTCGTCAGACATCATAATTCCCAGATCTTTTAATATGTTGTTTTCCTTGTATGAGTGTGTCTGATAGTGTCATGTACCCTGTGTGTCGTTGACCTTCCTCGTTACCAGGAACACGTGTCCTTATACCAGCTACTTTTCCTGGTCCCCTTCCCATAGTCACTCCCCCCTCCTCCCACTGCCCCCCTCCAACTGCCCCCCCTGCCCCCCCCCCCGCCCCCCCCTCCAACTGCCCCCCCCCTCCCTCTTATCCCACACAGTCACAATAACCTCTGGAAAAGGTAAAGCCTTTTCTAGAAATTTCTGACACCAGAAGGATGAGGACATTACTTACAGGGCGTCTGCTCGCTGCTGAGTGGAGCAGGTGTGTGGTGGCTGCTGAGTGGAGCAGGTGTGTGGTGGCTGCTGAGTGGAGCAGGTGTGTGGGTGTGTGAGGAGAGCAGGTGTGTGGGTGTGTGAGGAGAGCAGGTGTGTGGGGAGAGCAGGTGTGTGGGGAGAGCAGGTGTGTGGGGAGAGCAGGTGTGTGGGTGGGTGGGGAGAGCAGGTGTGTGGGGAGAGCAGGTGTGTGGGTGTGTGGGGAGAGCAGGTGTGTGTGTGTGTGGGATAGCAGGTGTGTGGGGAGAGCAGGTGTGTGGGGAGAGCAGGTGTGTGGGGAGAGCAGGTGTGTGGGGAGAGCAGGTGTGTGGGGAGAGCAGGTGTGTGGGTGTGTGGGGAGAGCAGGTGTGTGTGTGTGGGATAGCAGGTGTGTGGGGAGAGCAGGTGTGTGTGTGTGGGATAGCAGGTGTGTGGGGAGAGCAGGTGTGTGTGTGTGGGATAGCAGGTGTGTGGGGAGAGCAGGTGTGTGGGGAGAGCAGGTGTGTGTGTGTGGGAGGAGAGTTGTAGGGGAAGGTGTGGAGGGAGAGCCTAGGTGGTGAGAGAGACACACACACCTGAGGGGAGACATTTGGAGAGGAGGGCCAGTGAGAGGAGTATTGATTAATTACACGCTGTATCTCTTGGGGCTGGAACAACTAGGTTATTGGTGGTGGCACCAGGCAGCGTGGGGGGGGGGGTAATGTGAGGTGCAGGTAGCAAGGGGGAGGAGTGAGGTGAAGGGAGCAGCGAGGAGGAAGATGAACAGCGTGATGGGGTGGCCATAGGGAGGGAGGGCGGGAATGTAGCATAATGTCAAGGGTCGCCACGGCACTGGTGGGCGGCCAGGGTGGTGTGGGTGGGCGGCGTGGGCGGCCTCACCGCCGCCCTCTCCACCACCCGCCACAGGAAGAGTATCACCACCACACACGTTGGTACAGTCACGGCTACAGTCATGTAAATTGAATGACTGGTTGTGGCAGTGTGAGGGCGGCTTGCTGGCTCCTGGCGGCGTCCTCTTGTCCTCCAGGCTCTCTTGCCGGCTGGTCCAGGCTCTCTTGCCGGCTGGTCCAGGCTCTCTTGCCGGCTGGTCCAGGCTCTCTTGCCGGCTGGTCCAGGCTCTCTTGCCGGCTGGTCCAGGCTCTCTTGCCGGCTGGTCCAGGCTCTCTTGCCGGCTGGTCCAGGCTCTCTTGCCGGCTGGTCCAGGTGGTCCAGGTCCAGGCTCCGTTGCCGGCTGGTCCAGGCTCCGTTGCCGGCTGGTCCAGGCTCCGTTGCCGGCTGGTCCAGGCTCCGTTGCCGGCTGGTCCAGGCTCCGTTGCCGGCTGGTCCAGGCTCCGTTGCCGGCTGGTCCAGGCTCTGTTGCCGGCTGGTCCAGGCTCTCTTGCCGGCTGGTCCAGGCTCTCTTGCCGGCTGGTCCAGGCTCTCTTGCCGGCTGGTCCAGGCTCTCTTGCCGGCTGGTCCAGGCTCTCTTGCCGGCTGGTCCAGGCTCCGTTGCCGGCTGGTCCAGGCTCCGTTGCCGGCTGGTCCAGGCTCCGTTGCCGGCTGGTCCAGGCTCCGTTGCCGGCTGGTCCAGGCTCCGTTGCCGGCTGGTCCAGGCTCCGTTGCCGGCTGGTCCAGGCTCCGTTGCCGGCTGGTCCAGGCTCCGTTGCCGGCTGGTCCAGGCTCCGTTGCCGGCTGGTCGAGGCACTGTTGCCGGCTGGTCGAGGCACTGTTGCCGGCTGGTCGAGGCACTGTTGCCGGCTTGTCATTATTACTAATTATCATCCGCACCTCCGTGGTAATAAACTTATCATTCACTCATGATAGCTGAGTGGGTAGAGCCTTTGCCTCACACACGTGGGGTCCAGGGTTCGAGTCTCCTAGTGCCCAGGTGAAATTATTATTATTGACTCGCTGTACCCGGCCACGCCCTGCTGTGGCTCACAGGCAATCGCTGAAGAACTTTCAGAAATTAGCGATTTTGAACAAACGAACATTTATATTAGTATTTACATAGATAAGCATTTTAAGGCAATGGAGAGATTTGAACCCGCGACCTGGTGATTCCCACACACCTGCCTTAACCGACTCAGCCACGATGGTACAACAACCCTGGAAACACAAACCGAAACTGTCTCTATTTTCCGCTTGTTACAACTTGTAATAAAGTTGTTACATCTCGGCTTAACGTGTTTATGACGTATTAGAACGTTGTTACAACTTGCTATATTGGTTGTTAAAACTGGTTAGGAGGTGTTAAAACTTGTTCGAACGTTGTACCAACGTCGTAGTTTCGGTGTGTGTTTGGCGGGAATTGACCAACCCAGAACTCTACTTAACTCTACGGAGTTCAAATTTGTACCACAGAATTCCAAGGGAATTAAATCTGAATCTGTCATTTGGCCGACCTGGTTGTTTCCTCGTATACTGGCCGTTTGTCTGGTGTTTTATGAGATAACTTAAGAGGTCGTAAACGAGGTGCTTTGGAAGACTTACGAGCTCAACCGCTCTCGTCTCCGGCATCTGCAGCCTAAATAAAATGACTGGACACCCATTAGCGTATGGGTGTCCAGGATGGCTAAGAGAAGTGAGGCACACAAGAACATGCTTGTAGTCACACTCGCTTGTAGTCCCACTCGCTTGTAGTCACACTGGCTTGTAGTCACACTGGCTTGTAGTCACACTGGCTTGTAGTCCCGCTCGCTTGTAGTCCCGCTCGCTTGTAGTCACACTGGCTTGTAGTCACCCTGGCTTGTAGTCACCCTGGCTTGTAGTCACCCTCGCTTGTAGTCACCCTCGCTTGTAGTCACCCTCGCTTGTAGTCACCCTGGCTTGTAGTCACCCTGGCTTGTAGTCACCCTGGCTTGTAGTCACCCTGGCTTGTAGTCACCCTCGCTTGTAGTCACACTGGCTTGTAGTCACCCTCGCTTGTAGTCACCCTCGCTTGTAGTCACCCTCGCTTGTAGTCACCCTCGCTTGTAGTCACACTGGCTTGTAGTCACCCTCGCTTGTAGTCACCCTCGCTTGTAGTCACCCTCGCTTGTAGTCACCCTGACTTGTAGTCACCCTGGCTTGTAGTCACCCTGGCTTGTAGTCACCCTGGCTTGTAGTCACACTGGCTTGTAGTCACCCTGGCTTGTAGTCACCCTGGCTTGTAGTCACCCTGGCTTGTAGTCCCGCTCGCTTGTAGTCCCGCTCGCTTGTAGTCACACTGGCTTGTAGTCACACTGGCTTGTAGTCACACTGGCTTGTAGTCCCACTGCTTGTAGTCCCGCTCGCTTGTAGTCACACTGGCTTGTAGTCACACTGGCTTGTAGTCACCCTCGCTTGTAGTCCCGCTCGCTTGTAGTCCCGCTCGCTTGTAGTCACACTGGCTTGTAGTCACACTGGCTTGTAGTCACCCTCGCTTGTAGTCGCCCTCGCTTGTAGTCACACTGGCTTGTAGTCACACTGGCTTGTAGTCACACTGGCTTGTAGTCCCACTGGCTTGTAGTCCCACTGGCTTGTAGTCCCACTGGCTTGTAGTCACACTGGCTTGTAGTCACACTCGCTTGTAGTCACACTGGCTTGTAATCACACTCGCTTGTAGTCACACTGGCTTGTAGTCACCCTCGCTTGTAGTCACCATCGCTTGTAGTCACCCTCGCTTGTAGTCACCCTCGCTTGTAGTCCCGCTCGCTTGTAGTCACACTGGCTTGTAGTCACACTGGCTTGTAGTCACACTGGCTTGTAGTCACACTGGCTTGTAGTCCCGCTCGCTTGTAGTCACACTGGCTTGTAGTCACACTGGCTTGTAGTCACACTGGCTTGTAGTCACCCTCGCTTGTAGTCACCCTGGCTTGTAGTCACACTGGCTTGTAGTCACACTGGCTTGTAGTCACACTGGCTTGTAGTCACACTGGCTTGTAGTCCCACTGGCTTGTAGTCCCACTGGCTTGTAGTCACACTGGCTTGTAGTCACACTGGCTTGTAGTCACACTGGCTTGTAGTCCCACTGGCTTGTAGTCCCACTGGCTTGTAGTCACACTGGCTTGTAGTCCCACTGGCTTGTAGTCCCACTGGCTTGTAGTCCCGCTCGCTTGTAGTCCCGCTCGCTTGTAGTCCCGCTCGCTTGTAGTCCCGCTCGCTTGTAGTCCCGCTCGCTTGTAGTCCCACTGGCTTGTAGTCCCACTGGCTTGTAGTCACACTGGCTTGTAGTCACACTGGCTTGTAGTCACACTCGTTTGTAGTCACTCTGGCTTGTAGTCACACTCGCTTGTAGTCACACTGGCTTGTAGTCACACTCGCTTGTAGTCACACTGGCTTGTAGTCACACTCGCTTGTAGTCACACTGGCTTGTAGTCACACTCGCTTGTAGTCACACTGGCTTGTAGTCACCCTCGCTTGTAGTCACACTGGCTTGTAATCACACTCGCTTGTAGTCACACTGGCTTGTAGTCACACTGGCTTGTAGTCACCCTCGCTTGTAGTCACACTCGCTTGTAGTCACACTGGCTTGTAGTCACACTCGCTTGTAGTCACACTGGCTTGTAGTCACCCTCGCTTGTAGTCACACTCGCTTGTAGTCACACTGGCTTGTAGTCACACTCGCTTGTAGTCACACTGGCTTGTAGTCACACTGGCTTGTAGTCACACTCGCTTGTAGTCACACTCGCTTGTAGTCACACTGGCTTGTAGTCACACTCGCTTGTAGTCACACTGGCTTGTAGTCACACTGGCTTGTAGTCACACTGGCTTGTAGTCACACTCGCTTGTAGTCACACTGGCTTGTAGTCACACTGGCTTGTAGTCACACTGGCTTGTAGTCACACTGGCTTGTAGTCACACTGGCTTGTACCCTCGCTTGTAGTCACCCTCACACTGGCTTGTAGTCACACTGGCTTGTAGTCACCCTCGCTTGTAGTCACCCTCGCTTGTAGTCACACTGGCTTGTAATCACAGTCGCTTGTAGTCACACTGGCTTGTAGTCACCCTCGCTTGTAGTCACACTCGCTTGTAGTCACACTGGCTTGTAATCACACTCGCTTGTAGTCACACTGGCTTGTAGTCACCCTCGCTTGTAGTCACACTCGCTTGTAGTCACACTGGCTTGTAGTCACACTGGCTTGTAGTCACACTGGCTTGTAGTCACACTGGCTTGTAGTCACACTGGCTTGTAATCACACTCGCTTGTAGTCACACTGGCTTGTAGTCACTGGCTTGTAGTCACACTGGCTTGTAGTCTGGCTTGTAGTCACCCTCGCTTGTAGTCACACTGGCTTGTAATCACACTCGCTTGTAGTCACACTGGCTTGTAATCACACTCGCTTGTAGTCACACTGGCTTGTAGTCACCCTCGCTTGTAGTCACACTGGCTTGTAGTCACACTGGCTTGTAGTCACACTGGCTTGTAGTCACACTGGCTTGTAGTCACACTCGCTTGTAGTCACACTCGCTTGTAGTCATACTGGCTTGTAATCACACTCGCTTGTAGTCACACTGGCTTGTAGTCACCCTCGCTTGTAGTCACACTCGCTTGTAGTCACACTGGCTTGTAATCACACTCGCTTGTAGTCACACTGGCTTGTAGTCACCCTCGCTTGTAGTCACACTCGCTTGTAGTCACACTGGCTTGTAGTCACCCTCGCTTGTAGTCACCCTCGCTTGTAGTCACACTGGCTTGTAGTCACACTGGCTTGTAGTCACACTGGCTTGTAGTCACACTGGCTTGTAGTCACACTGGCTTGTAGTCACCCTCGCTTGTAGTCACCCTCGCTTGTAGTCACCCTCGCTTGTAGTCACACTCGCTTGTAGTCACACTCGCTTGTAGTCACACTCGCTTGTAGTCACACTCGCTTGTAGTCACACTCGCTTGTAGTCACACTCGCTTTGTAATACGCGGCACCTTGGGGGGGGGGGGCGGCATGATCTCGTTAAACACACAATCTGGAGAAAATTCCACCAGAGGTGATATGCCACCAGACCTGTCCCAGAGCCGAGAGTTATGAGTTGTGAGGAACGGCTAAAGGAACTAACCCTCGTACTACTGTACTCACCTAGTTGTGTCTGCAGGATCGAGCATTGACTCTTGGATCCCGCCTTTCGAGCATCGGTTGTTTACAGCAATGACTCCTGTCCCATTTCTCTATCATATCTGGTTTTAAAAGTATGAATAGTATTTGCTTCCACAACCTGTTCCCCAAGTGCATTCCATTTTTCCACTACTCTCACGCTAAAAGAAAACTTCCTAACATCTCTGTGACTCATCTGAGTTTCAAGCTTCCACCCATGTCCCCTCGTTCTGTTACTATTCCGTGTGAACATTTCGTCTATGTCCACCCTGTCAATCCCTCTGAGTATCTTATACGTTCCTATCATGTCCCCCCTCTCCCTTCTTCTTTCTAGTGTCGTAAGGCACAGTTCCCTCAGACGCTCCTCATACCCCATCCCTCGCAGCTCTGGGACGAGTCTCGTTGCAAACCTCTGAACCTTTTCCAGTTTCATTATATGCTTCTTCAGATGGGGACTCCATGATGAGGCAGCATACTCTTAAGACTGGCCTCACGTAGGCAGTGTAAAGCGCCCTAAATGCCTCCTTACTTAGGTTTCTGAATGATGTTCTAACTTTTGCCAGTGTAGAGTACGCTGCTGTCGTTATCCTATTTATATGTTTATGGAGATAGCTTAGGTGTTACGTCCACCCCCAGGTCTCTTTCACGCGTCGTTACAGGTAGGCTGTTCCCCTAAGGTAAGGTTTCCCTCCAGACCTGACCAAGGGTGCAGAGAAGGC